CCTGATGCCTCAATGTCATGAATTTAAGCCTGATTGGCAACTAAGTCTTGCTATTTGACTGTTGAACTATCCAGATGCAACCGACACTTCTATGAGTTTCTTTTCTTTCACTTCTCACCTGTGGAACTCTTCCCATTTCTTTCTTCCTTACCACCTACAATCTTCACAAATTTAAATGCAACATCAATTGCCATTTTCTGTCTACCTGTTCCTTTATTGTCCTAGCCTCACTAAAATCTTGTCATTCTCTTTCACGCCCTGTAACCTGCTGTATACTAGTGGCATTATTATCTTCTCTGGAGAAATTTAATCTTTTTAATTGCAATTTGAAATACCTTCAACGGAAAAAAAACTCAACCCACCTGTCTTCCACCCACCCTGATTGCATAGAGAAAACTTCAAATTATTCTATTTGTAATTAAAACTAAAAAAAATGTAAGTAAACTTTATTAGAGCCTTTTTATTTATTTTTTTTAACTAATATTTTCAAATGATACTGTTAGCAGTCCAGTCTCGAGATAGTGACACTACAGGATGCAATGGGTAAATTGTCGGCATTTTTATATTAATTTTGTACATGTACATTGTTTGTATTTGATTTTGTCAACTGCACATCTTCAGAATAAATAAAATCATCAGCAAAATAAAACAAAGAATTTGACAAGAAAAATTATCAATTACTGATGTTAAAAAAAAGTTAAATTACCAAGACTAGGGAAGTGGGGGGAGAGAATCTTTCTAGTTAGGCATTGAATTAACCACTAGCTCCCTGAATAAGGCCAACTTATGCTTTAACTCTCTCTCTGCCTACACAATGCAGGACGTGTGTATGCACACACACTTATATATTTAATTTTGCACATGTGCATTGTTTGTTTCTTATTTAGTTGACTGCACAGTATAATAAGGTCAGTTGGGCACCATCTGTGAGAAAAAGAGCATGATAACGCAATTCACTCGGCCAGAAATTTGGAAACGGCATGCTGTTCTGCTTGGCATTTGTGCCGGAAGCTCCAATACAAATATTTCAGAGTAATTGGGTGTCAATCTGAGGAGAGTGCAGAGGATTCAAAAAGAGTTGGACGAGTCTAATGTTTGGAGGGATCACTAGTGATGGTGACGGTGACATTATGCTTCCATTCATCTTCTCATAGAGCCTCAGACTCAACAGGGAGGCTTGCATCAAGTACCTTGAAGAGGTAGTGCTGCCCTGTGTTAATGTGGCTGCTGGAAGACCCCATGTCTACCAACAGGACTCTGCACCATGCCACACAAGCAGGAGAACCCAGTCATGGCTGTAAGACAATTCAGACTGCATCCGCCTTGATTATTATCTGTGGGGTGCAGTTGAGCAAGAGACCAACAAAACTCCTTGTAACATCAAAGATGAACTGAAAGCAAGGATTATGGCAGCATTCACCAACTTAAACAAGGAGAGTTGCAGGAGATTCCAAAGTCATCTAAAGGCCATGGTTGAAGCCAATGGCGATTTTGTTGAATAAATTTACTCTTTAGTATTTCAAGATATTTTTTCTGTAATTTTGGTAAATATATCTGTTAAAATAAAATGTAAGTGTTATTTTCATTTTTGCATAATTTAAACGACAATTTATCCATCGCACCCTGTATATTTTGGGGACTTCACTTTTTTATACAATTGAAAATGTATTGTATTCAGGCTATAATCACAGAGTAAATCTTTCTTGTTGAAAAGTGAAGTTTTCTGTGTTGTTACTTTTTCCTTGGCTGATTATTTCCTACTGTGAAACAAATCCACTTGTATCATGAATCAGTAATAAGTGTTTAATACCTTTTGAATTATTAAAATATACTTTAATAAATACAGGCAGATGTTAATATAGTTTTACAAAGTGCCCTAAAATTTCAGTCTCTCAAGAGAAAAGATTGGTATCTGTACCATAAAAATGTAAAAATAGTATATTGTTATTCCTAATATATAAATACCTAATAAAGTAAATTGTTGTTGTATTATTTTCATGTAGAGAGTTCAGTTCTCACTTTCTATAGCCTTGTGCCACACTAAGTGGAAAGCTTAGTAAGTAAAACTTAGGGCTCCTACCATCACATAATGGTTAACAAGCTAGTCTTACAGACCAGTTTGTTGGTGGAGCAAGTTTGGTCTTTGCTCCACTGTTGCAGCATTAAGATGTATTAATTCTTATATATATATATATATATATAACAAGTAAAAGATTTGTCACTTAGATGATTAATGTTACTTTCAGCATCCTGACTCCAGAGTTTCATAGATATTCTCTCCAGGAGTCACTCCATCGATTCATCAGGGGTTATCAGCAGTTTATACTTCTTTATTCGTCTTTTTTTATATGCACTTTTCATTGGTGCAAGTCGTTTTTTGTTTCACGGTGTGTGTTCATGCAACCAATGTATGATGAAAAGTCAACTTGTGTCCGAGTACAACCACTTCCGTGGCTTTACTGTTGATGTCCTTGCCACTGATGTCATCTGTGGTGATTCATTAGACCACCAACTGACCTACATTTTAGGCTACGAGTTTTGCAAGCAAATTTACCCCTTGCTGCTTAATAATTTAAGTCTTATCTCATTTTTCTTTGGGTTTCTTTTCTTCCCTGTCTTTGTAGGACATCAGCAATGTTAGCTCTCCACAACTCTCTTTTGTTACTATAAGTAACTTTTGACTTTTTACCATGCCTCTTTGTCCTGGTTCAGCCATCCATTCACAGACTCTTTAAGATTACTTATGATTTCCACTTGACTTCATTATGTCCAGTGAATTTTGAATTCTCTTGGCCCTTTTCCCTCATTATGTCTCAGAAAGATTCATTTTCTCTAGGTATAAGCTTCCTTATAATTCCCGTTTTTTTCCTGAAAACTTTCTCCTTGCTCACATATTTCATCCATGTTTTTTTTTTTTTTGCCTTTACCAATTGAATCAGCATTTGCTATCATATAGGAAATTAATACCAGTTCAACATGCTTCCTTTGTTTCTAATGACATTTTCTGATGTCTTGGTACTTTGCTTAGTTTCTTGAAAGCATTTTCCACTAT